TAAGAAAAGGGAATAGAATGATCTCATTGATTGTGTATATATATTTTTACGTAGTATTATATGTACAATAATTTCAAAAGTAAACCCATTTGAAACTAAATAATGGAGATCCTATTAAAAGAATAAGGCAGTAAAATATCATTATATTTCGTAGAGTTTTCAATCTCCCTAGAGATGGGAAAAAAAGAAAGGAACAAACAACCTCTTGAGTTTTGAATGGAGACAATTCATAGACCTGGTCACGATTATCTTAACCATTATTACTGAATACATTGGAATGGAAAAACCCTAGTAGTTGAAAGAAAGGCAAAGACACCCAGAAAAGTAGCGAAGAGAGGCAGAGAAAGAAACTGATAAAAGGGAATAAATAAATATCTTACCAAGTAGAGGTGAAGAGTAACTCTCGAGTAGAGAACCAAAATGTGCAGACCTTCACTCGAACGAGCGAGTAAGAACTAAAAGACGCCGAGAGATGCAGAGCTTCACTCCAACGATCTGAGAATGATGCAAGGAGACTCGAGAGAACGAGACATGTAGGGAGAGTTACAAAAAACACCTTTGAAAATCTTGGAGGGAAGATGAGCTAGAAAACTTGCAATTGGAAGAAAAACTCTTTATCCTTGGCAAGAACACTAACTATTCTAAATTCCACCACAAACATGATGCCTCAGTTCATCATGAGTTCTTTTAAGATCCCTAATAATACTATTGATGATATTGACAAAATCCAAAGTGATTTTTTATGGTCAAACTCAAAAGGCAAGAAACCCTTACATCTCCTAAAATGGGAGAAAGTTTGCACACCCAAAAGATGGGGGGATTAGGATTGAGGAAGCTTCATTGGGTGAATGTAGGAATGGAAACGGGGTGGAAATTCCCATCGCAGTTGGGGACAATGTTATCCCCATTCTTGTCCCCCATAGGGATCCCCACTCCCTGTGATTTTTTATAATATCAACCATTTTCTTTTTGTTTCTTATTTTATTTAAAAAATTAAAAATAAAATAATTAAAATTTACAAACCTATTAAAAAAGATTCAAACATATTTTAAAAAGCATTAATAAAAAGACGTATGTGTACATATATACATATATAGATGTATGCGTACATATATACAAATATATTAGCAGGGATCCCATCGGGTGGGGTTCGGGGTCACCGTAGGGCAGGGAGTGCTCTCCTCGTCCCCGCCAACGAGGATAAAAATTTCCCCATCCCCATCCCTGCAGGTGGAAAATCTTCTCCATCCTTGCTCCATTAGGATTGGGTTCCTGTAAGGATTGTGGTAATGTGGAAAATTTCCATCCCTAGGTGAATGAAGCAAATCCAGCAAAGCTGGGTTGGAAGGTTCTAAATGAGGAAGAAAATTTATGGGTTAAAATTATTGAAGGAAAATATTTAAAAAATGATGAAAATTTGTGGACAGTAAAAGTTAAAAAGGGGACATTTTGGGCATGGAGAGGTATTCTCCATGCTAGAGACCTTTTAAAGAACGGTATTCGTTAGATAATGGGGAATGGTAATAAGTTGGCTAGACCATTGGCTAGATGGGAAACCTTTAACTGAAGAAATTAACCAAGACTTTATAGAGAATGAGAATCTCCTTGTAGCAGATTTAATTGACCAAGAGAGATGCTATAGGAACAAAGATAAAGTTTGTGCAATGGTCCCGGAGTATGTTTAGAAGAAAATAAAACCAATTTTTATTCCTGCGAATTTAATAGAAGACAAAGTGATTTGGGGATGTAATCCCAAAGGAAACTTCACCTTCAAATCAGCCTATATGTTGAAGAGTGCCATGAATACAGGAACCCACATAAATTCTAAATGGATGTCGAATGTATGGAATTTAAAGTGCCCTCCCAAATTCAAATGTTTCCTCTTTCTTCTATTAAATAATAGACTCCCCACAAAAATCCTCTGAAAGGGGATGCAACTTTTATGGCTCTGAATTTTTGCAGAAAGGAGGAAGATATAATGTGCATTTTAGAGATTGCTCCTTTACTAAGCAAATTTGGCAATGGTTAGCCCAAGCCTAAAGGGTCCAGGTGAAAATGACCAATCCTTACTGGATTGGTGGTTAAGAATTGCCAGATATGGAAGTACTAAAATTCTTCAAATTAAGGAGAAAATCACATCTCTGCAGGTCAATTTGGAAAAATAGGAATTGCAAGATCTTTAATAATAAGGAAGCCCCCTCCTATTATTTTGGACAAAGCGCTCAATCTATTCACAGAGAACATGGACGGTCTCAAAGACTTTAACAGCAATCTAGAGATTAAGCCTAAGAAACCAATTGCGTGGAAATATCCAAACACTTGATGCTTCCTACACCATTGATAGTAAGAGCTTGATTGATGCTTTTGCTTGTGACATCGCAGTACAAACTTGGTGACTCCACCATTAACCAAGTGGAGGCATTGGCTGATTGGAAAGCCCATAATCTGGCGTTGAACTTGAAAGACTTTCCTGCTCTCATTGAAGGAGATTTCAAATTAGTCATCTCCTACCTAAACAAAGGGATAGACCCTCCTTGGAGGCTAAAAAGCATTATCTCAAGTTGTTTGCCGATGAAGGAGATTTTAGACAGAGGTATGACATATCATCATGTATATCGTGAGGCAAATCAGGTAGCAGATTGGCTTGTGCATGAGGTTCTTTCTTTTTCATCGGACGGTTTGAATTTTAGTTTATATTGTTTTCCTTTTTTTTGCCATTTGTTTGTTTTGCTGATGTTTGGGGACGCGCTACCCCCTCCATCTTATGTAAACCCCTTATGATCTTATAAAAAAAAAGATAGATTTTCATGTTTGTTTTTGACTCCGTGGGGCTACACAATAGGGTAGCCCATCCCATAAACCCATAACTAGGGGTGTTCACGATTCAGTTAATCGAATCATGGGCATTTTTTTGAAACTGAACCGGTTCTACTGGTTTTTACACTTCATCCAATCAAAACTGAACCAATATCATTGGTTAACCGGTTGATCGGTTTCGATTTTTCACTGGTTTAGTTCTTCAATTTTTTGGTTTTTTATATTTATAATATATATTCTATATAGTATTATATTATAAATAATAATTGATATATAATATATTATAAATATTATAAATATATATTTATATATAATTCATATGTATTTATATATATATATATATATTTATACACATAAATATATATACCGGTTGATTTGGTTAATCGTCAGTTTTTTCTAGATTAACTGAAAATCGAACTGGTCCTTTGATTATTCAGAAATGCCGAACTAAAACTTCGGTTAACTGCAGTTTTTAATTTTTTTTCTCCGTAAAAGATGATTCATTAAAGGAAACTTAAGGGAACATTTGGATCCCCTTTTTACATGGTTCCAAAAGGAGCTGAGCTAAGTTAACTGAGTTGGCATTACTATTTACAAAAGAGTTTCTATGCCTAGCTGGTTTTGCTAGTTCATGGGCTGGCACAATTACATCCCTGTTTACATATAAAATTTTAATGTTTTCAAAAAAAGAGAGGAGTTCAAATATGTGATCATATAATGGCTGCTGATCCCATGCAATGTGTCTATCTATTCCTTTGAACTTCATTATGACTGCCTTGGAATCTGAGAACAAAAACCCTGTCTTTTTACCTATAGAAAAAAAAAACTTTCTTAAACCTCTAATTATTGCACATAGCTCAATTGCTGCTGGTGATCTTGCCAAGCATAATTCTCCTTCTGCAATGATAGGATGAAACCTGTGAGTGAACATATATATACCAGTGGATGCAGTTTGTGTGATGGCACTCCAAGAGCTATCCACTAAAATAATCGGGAAGTCTGTGAAAAGAGCTTGTTGCAAATCCCACTCTAGTTGTGGATGTAGTGAATTAGGAATTTTGAGCTCAGTTTCTTTATAGCTGCAGTAACTTTCAGCCTTTCTCAAAATTCGGACAGAGTCTAGGTTCATTTTGTTAAAAATTTGGTTATTTCTTACATCCCATAAACCGCAGTTTTTAATTCGGTTTTCTCGGTTTGATTTGGTTGTTCGGTTTATTATGAGCACCCGTACACATAACCGCCCAACCGTGGATTCGATCCCAAGACTCAAGTCTCCGCTACACTCGTCTAGAGACTTACCAAGTAGCCAGTTGTCATCCTGCCATAGGTGTTGATGTTTGTTGGAAATCTCGATGCGTTTTGGGTGGGGCCGCTTGTACATCTCCTCAAAGTTTTTTGCATGTTCGTTTGTTTTTGGGTAAGTTTTGTTTTGAGTGGGCTGGTTTTTTCATTGCCCGTGTTGTTTTTGTTGCTGGATCAGCCTTGTTGACTTTAGGTGGGCCTTGGTGGTAGGCCTTTGCATTGAGAGACCCCATTGTAGTTCTCTTGTCCTCTTTTTATTTTTTAACAATTTTTTATTTACTTTAAAAAAGAAAAGAAAGTACGTATTTTTTATTTACACATTGATTTTCACTTAAGTCTACTAAATTTTAATACTAAAAATGATGTTTTAGTATGTTGCATCCAAACGTCATCTTCGCCCAATATTCCTGGCCCATGTTGTCAAGAATGAGACAGAAATGGGCTCCCAGAACAGGCCCAAAGGAATCCACTACTCATGGTGAACGGTAAACCTTCTAGGTTTCTACTGATCACGTACGACTACACTTCTACTCTACAAACCTTTCTGAACTGAGCTACTCAAATTTCATTTATTTTATCATTGTCTCTGAACATCGTCTTGATAGCAATGTCAAGGAGTTAACCTGTCCAAGATTCTGAGTCATTTATCATCCTTTAATCTGTCATATTATCATGTTGAACCCAATTCTTGAATTTTCATTTCTTTTCTATGAAAAAGAAAAGGAGTTGCCACATTAATGGAGCCTGAATGCTAGCCCACCAACAGGGTTTTTCCGAGAATAACCAAAACGAGTGTTTCAGAAAAATGAAAGAAAGAACCATTGATCACTAATCTCTTGACTGATTTTCAATTCAATGAACGTTTTGCTACAAAACCAAAGGGAGATGACTTCTCTGATCATTTCAGTTATTACAAACAGACGTTCAGATACAAGCTAAGTGAAATTACAGTAACTGGATCAAATTTAGTTAAACCATGCATGACTTTTTTACCAAATAAATAAATCCGGCAGGACTTAGATGGTACTGAAAAAAGAAGAAGGACTAGGAGGAACTGGTATATCTACAGTCCCTTCCAACATCAAAACCACCTTTTTCATGAATGGCCGAAGTGATGGCTCGTCTTGAATGCACCACAGGCCCACGCTGACCATCCTCTCCAATCTTTTCTTGTCCACCACTTCATCACCAACCAGTTTCTGCAACTCACCAGCCTTGAAACAGTCATAGACCCAATCTGTAAGGACAATCTCATCCTCAGGAACATTAACATCCACACTGCGACGACAACATACTAGTTCTAACAAGACGACCCCAAAGCTGTAGATATCTGCCTTGACTGTTATGGGCATGTTCCGGTGCCACTCCGGTGCCACATATCCCCTTGTCCCTCTGATTGCTGTAAAGGTCCCACTTTGGTCTGGCTTCAACAGCTTTGCTAATCCGAAATCGGCTATCTTTGGACAATTGAACTCATCCATGAGTATGTTTTGAGGCTTTATGTCGCAGTGGATGATTTGAGTCTCGCATTCATCGTGCAAATATAGAATGCCTCTAGCTATTTTCAAAGCAATTCCCACCCTTTCATCCCAATTTGGTCGTCTTTCCTTTGTGAAGAGGAGATCTGCAAGTGATCCATTGCTCATGTACTCATACACCAGAAGCTTATTAGGACCATCGTTGCAGTAACCAACCAATCGGACTAAATTTCTATGATGGGTTTTGGCAATCACGCGTATCTCAGTCTGAAACTCCCTCTCTCCTTCATCCAACATCTTCTCCAGTCTCTTGACAGCGACAATCCTCTGGATGTGGCCATTTGGCAAAGTTCCTTTGAAAACCGTTCCGAAAGCTCCCCTGCCCACCTCTTCCTTGAAACCTTCTGTAAGTTTTTGGAGCTCAGCGATGGTAAATGATCGTAGAGCAATCTCCTCGGTTAGTCCTATACTTCCCGGATCCAAGATCCTTTTATACGCCCAAACACGGTTCCTGTAACTAATAACAACAGAAAACGCTAGCAAAATGAATGCACAAACGAAAAATACCACTCCGATTATCAGAATGTCCTTTCGCTGTTCTTTCTTGTTTTGGTGGGATATGGTGGTGCCATTTATTTCGCTTCCGCTTCCTACCTTGACATAAACCATGGTCGAATCACCAAGATTCCTTCTTCCATATCTCAACGGAAGCTTCTGTTTTCTGCAATCTTGTTTATTAAAAACTGCAACGTCGCAGTTGCAGTCCTCCAAACAGGCGTTTTTGCAGTCTTCTTCACTGGTAATGGGCGATAAAATAGCATACGGATCATCTTCCCATGTGGTTTGGTCCAAAGAGATCATGCTGTAGTCGATGTTTTGGTTCTCACTTCCACAAGTATTCTCTGCACTAAGTTTCCACGTGCAGCCCCAAGTACGTTGATTTCTGTCAATGAAATCGAAACCAGGTAGACATCTGCAATCAGATTTTTGATCCATGAGAATACAATATGCATTCATGCCGCATAGTCCCTTGGGATCACAAAAATTACTCGTTGAATTCCATACCATTGACCAATCACTGCTATTTCCATTCAAATTGGTTGAATAGAGCCGGAAGAGCCCATCGACATCGATCGTCATGCGGTAAACCATCGTCTTTCCGGTGGCAAAACCACCGTTTGTTACATTCCTTATGTTGAAACTGGTGCCATTGAGCAAGTAGAGGTGGCCATCACTGTCAAAATTTAAACTAACGTTGTTTCCTTGGCCATTGGTACCTGAAGCCCAATAAGAGTAAGGGGCCGTGTCTGGAGTGTCTACGGGGTACTGCACCAGATTTCCATCGTCCTGCATCTTGAGCCGAAATCTTCCTCTCGAGTGGTCGATTTCTGAGACGCTAGAGAAGAGTTCTGATCCAACTTTTAGAGGCTGACCAGGTAAAAGAGTGTCCGTCGGATTGTCAAAGCTTTGCCATACGACAACCCCGCTTGAAGTATAAAGAACAAAGTTGCCGGAGTCAAGCATAGAAGCAAAAGAGGCGGATTGGGGACCTTCAGCGATGGATTTGATGGTTTGGTTTTGTGCGGATTGCAAGATGAGTCTACCGTCATTTTGCAAGACTAACGTAGTATTTCCTGGCACTGGCGGGTCTTGTCTATTTGCAGTCCAAATGACTGTTTTTTGGGGAATTCCGGCAAACCAAATTCCAACAGCAAAGCTATCGCCGTATGGGTAAAACCCGAAAGCAAATCGGCCAGAAGGTGAGAGCCATGATGGGGTTTTGGTGGGGGAGAGAGACGAGCCCAAGCTTATATTAGATGATCTTTGTTGAGCAGCTGCTAATGAAGAAAATACAGAAATGAGAAAAAACAACAGTACAGCAGCCATGAGAGAGAAGCTCAGAAAGAACTTTTCTCTTCTGTTGAATCTTTTATCAAATTCAACATGTAAGGCTCCAACAACTGCATCCCCAACTACGCAAGACAGTCGATGCCAGTTGAGTTGGCACCAACTTACGCGCTTCTTTATTGCAACTTGCAGTGGACTCAATAATAGCATTAAATAAGAAGTCAATAACGAATAAAATAATAATTTGGTGGAGAAATGTTGCATGCAGTTTGTCCTCATCACGTTGAATTGATGATTCAACCGCGTATTTTCTCTTACGAAGGGAGCTCTTTAGAAAATGTTTATACAAATTTGCCAAAATTTGGTCGGTTTATTTGAATGGTTCAAACTTCAAACAATGAAGTACAAAAAAAAAAAAGAAAAAACTAAAGCAATTGGTTTGACAAACATTTAGATGGATTTTAAGTTTATATATACCCTTTCCATCTATTTATTATCGTAAGGGACCCGGCATGGAACCCCCATTTCTCTCTAAAAAACACAATTTTCTACGCCATGGATGAAAAACAATATTTCTAGGGCCGCAACTTTGGAGGGTTGAAGTCAGAGGTGCAAATGGAGTCGTATTGCCCGCGGCCAGGCCTGGGTTTTAGGTCGAGCGGGCCATGCTACTTGTGGCCCGTGTGCCGGTATGGCTCAGCCTGTAGTACGACCCAGTATGGCTCATATATATATATATATATTTGATATATAAATTATGTATATATTATATAAAATAATTATATAATATATTAATATATTATATTATATTATTTTATTATATAAACAATTGTATATATTAAAATTCATATAAATAAAATTTTAAGATCTTTTTAATATTTTTATCTATTTTGTAATTTAGGTTAAAATTTTCATTATTTCATTTTCAAAGATTTTAGAGAACATGGCTTGGCCCGTGGACCAGCTTGGCCCTTGGCACGACATGGGCCCACACAGGTTTAGGCTGTGGGCCGTGTTAGACCAATCCCCAAAGTATCCTAGGGGAGAGAAGCACAGTCTAGCTCGGCCATGGGCTAGCACAACATAGCCCATACGGGGTGCACGCAGGCCATGCCATGCCAGCCCAACATGGCCCAATTCACACCTCTGGTTGAAGTTTGGGTTAGGATGAAAAGTGTGCATTTGACTTAACTTCAAGTTGGCTTAGGGTTGAAGCCTTGGCTAACCTGAACCAATTTAACTTTGTATTTGTATGTGTAAATATCATATATCAGTTTATATGTGTAATTAAATAAATATACATATGAATCTATAATTTTTATATATGCATATAGTGTGTATGCATTTACCTATTTATCTATTTATGTACATGCATGTATGTTGTATGTATGTGTATGCATGACAATTGATGTAGGCGCATTTAGAGGAGTATGTGAATTGGCCTGGGAAGAGAAAGAGGAACCCTAAGAGGGGTGATCTAACAAGATACTGCACGTTTCATTGTGGTGCCGACCGCGACACCGAGGGCTGCTACGACCTCTAGGACGAGATTGAATCCCTCATCCGCCACGGGTATCTGAAGTAGTACGTTGGCACCAACCTCATCACCAATGTCTCGGCCTCGATTGTAACCGTAGGCCAAAATATGTAAACACAAGAGCTTGGCTTCGACCGACCATGTAAAAAGTTTTTGTAATAAAACAAATTTCTTTCACCTCGCCTCAAACCCTCAGTGTATACATTCTCGTCTCGATTGAGCACCCTTCTACAGCATACAACCTTCACCAAGGTTACACGCTCGGACTGGACCTCGGTCCAAGGCACACGACCTTAGGAGGTCATACGCCTAGTTGCCAGGTCCCGCACCTCGGCCGACCACCTGGCCATGGCATGCAACATTCACCAAGGCTACACGCCTAGACCGGATGTCAGCCCAAGGCATACGGCCTATTGGAGGTCACACTCCTACTCATCTCTTTTGACAAGGAACCTATTGGACCTTGGTCGTAGCTGACGAGTCGGCCCTTGATTTTGGATTCGGCCTCGGAGAGACCCTCCAAATGAGCGAGTCCTCATCTAGGCTCAAGAGATGGCATTGGCCCACCGCTCGACTCAATTCATGGTAGAACATACATGCTAAAGGGGACAACACCACCTTGCTGAGACAAGGGCAGTTCGTGGTCGGGCGGTGCCGACCGAGCTCTACGCAGCCCCAGCCATGCACGGGTTCATGCGCCTTGTCCCCCATAGGATGGGTAGCCAGGACAGCTATGGCATGCACCTCCCTTCTCTCTATGGAAGGAGGCCCCGTGTTTTCGGCGGCGAAGTTAGGCCTTGGCCTTACCCACCTGGGCGATAGAGCAGATGGGTTATTGAGTGATGAACTTTTGTAACTTGCGACCTCTTGGAAGGGGTTACCGACCCCTACACAGAAGAAATGCAACCGCAAATAGGCACAAAATACACAACATGGTAACCTCTTCGACGACCTCTTTGGCAACTTGGCTTGCCGACAACCATCAAAGCTTACCTCGCTCCATCACTTCGGACGTTGTTCCCACCTTCGCTGAGAGTGCACCCTCCTCTCCGGTGATCTCGTCCCCTCAACTCGGGGCACCCTCACTGTGGATACCGGCCACACATCACCACCCTGTCTTCGGGTAGATTCACCTTGGACGGCTCCCACACCTAGGCGGCTCCTCTCTGCTGGTGACATCGCCTCAGCTCGGAACATCCTCACGGCAAACGTTTGTCATACCTCGCCTCCTTGCCTCGAAGCATCATTACCTTGGGCACAAGAGGTGTGCACCCCTTTGCTCGAGGTAGCGTCATCCTGGATGCTTGCAACTCTACGTTTACCGCTCTCATAGAAGTTGCAAGCTAGGGTCAACCCACCCGGCCTATAACGAACGCTAGACTTAAGCACCTCGCCAAAAAAAAAATGAGCTAGGTCAGCAGAGGTATCACACACCGCGCCCCAAGCCTCGGCAGTAGACGGCCACCTCGACTCCACAACAGCGCAACAAAGGAAAGAGGATAGTAGCCCCGACCATCCCAGAAGTTCACCTCAGCACATGATCCCTATCACCTCGGAGGTCCACCTCGTCCTCGTCTAAGGGATTAAGTGTGCCAGGCGAGCTACACCTCGAAGGCATAGCTTGGCCTTGGCCACACCCTCTAACTTCCTAAAGTGAGCGTTTAATGAGCCACTTCGGGTTATTTTTTGTCTACTTGTGACATTTTAAAGAGAAGGGGCATAGACCCCTCGGTAAAAAAAGAAAGAGGAAGAAGAAAAGAGAGACAAAGGCACAAAGTATACAAAAATGGTAATTTCATTTCACAGTTCAGCTTACAAAATTTTTGGCCTTCAAGGCCAAGCACATTTACAACAGAAAAAAACAAGAATTGAAGTCAGCTAGGCCTTGCCCTCGGTTGGAGGAATGGCAGGATCCTCGACGCCTGCGTTTGCAACCTCGGTGGGAACCTCGGCCTTGTCCTTCGGGGGTAGAGAGTCAAGGAGCACCTGCAATTGATCAATGGGGAAGTTTGGCGCCATCTTCAAAAGAGCCTTCTTGGTGTCGTCAATCCCCTCCAAGTGGAACGCAGATCCATAGTGCGCCAGGCATTGTTGGTACTCCGGGATCAATTTCCAAAAAGTGACAGCGTCCCGGTATTTCGCCTCGGCCCCTGCTGATGTGGCCTCAACCTCTGCTGTCCGAGCCTTGGCGTCTACAACCTCCCTCTAGGCCTTGAGAGTAACCCCATTGAGGCGAGTCTTGTCCTCCTTGAACCACCCCAATCGGTCCTCGGCCCTAGCAATGAAATCTTTCTCGGCCTTCAAGTCATCCTCCAGGGTCTGCTGAAGCAACCCGCACTTCAAGCTGTTTATTTTTCTTCTTAAGTAGAGCCACACGCTTGAGAAGGGGTTTGACACGGCCACCGAGGTCGATAGACCTACACCAAGCATACCATCAATAAAACTAGTAAAAGCTAGCGAATAGAAGTCAAAAAGAAAAGGAAATTCACCTCGGCCAAGAAGTCCATCCCCTTGTCGATGATGGCAAGGGGGTTCATCTGCATCATGTCGAAGCGGTCCCCCAAATGGACCATCCCCTTGACGAGGGCCCTACCGATGCCCTCGGTATCAATGAAGTTCCACTCATGGGCACTCCACTTCGGGCAGAAGAGACGGTTCAAGCACTCCCCCCCCTCGGCAGGCTTGGAAGCGGAGGAAGGAGTAGATGAAGAACCGGTGGTGGGCCCCTGCACAAGCAGCCTCCTCGGATAAGTCTAGGGAGATTTATCCTGCCAAGGCTGACACTGGTGTGCTGCCAAATGTTGGGGTGGCTTGTCTCAGCCGCCAGGGTGATACCCAAGGCACATGCAGTGTAGGATTAAATGAATCTTTGAACCAAACCAGATTTCCAGTATTGCCCTGGACCTTGGAGATTGATGGGCAAAACTGGAAAGTTACACTTGATCCCTAGGCTCGATTATGATACTGCACTAGGTGTCAGATTGGGCTGTCTTTGATATGCCAATCAGTGAGATCCTTAGCGAGGGTCAAAACCTAGGTATGTTGGGACAGTCCGAGAATTCATTTGAGTGGGTGATCATAGTTATAGGATCAGCCCCTTTATCAGACAAAGGTAATGATCGGGGATGCACTCTCTCTAATGGAAACCAAGATTACCAGCAACCGATTTCAATAGTTGAAATTTTGTTTTGCAAAATATACTTATATATTGATAAACATATATATTACGGTTTCTAAACTTTTGTAAAAGGTTTTAATTCCTGGGATCCATGTGAGCAAAGAGTGCAATATTGTTCCTTGCAGCCGAGGGAGAGGTCCTCTCTTGTTGGGCAGTGTTTGATCATTATGGGCTAAGAGGTTAAGTGTAAGATCATTGGGGGTAATACCTGATGGGCTAATCTTGCATCTGCCAACAGTCCCTGGGTGTTACAAGGTGGCTTGGCCCAGGGACCACTTAGGGTAAGTGTTAGGATCATTAGGAGCCCATGTGATAGGCTTCAGAGGGTGCACTGTCCATAACAATGTATTCGACCTGGCATTGTAACAAAGGCTGGGCTGAACCCATGTGGCTGATGTGTAGATCAATGTTCAGGTCCTATGCCATACAAGGAAG